TAGGGCAAGGTCATTTTTCTTAAACAATAGTATTTAAAATTACAAAAAACTTTCAGGTTCTCTAATACTTTTCATGCAACTGAAAACAAGGTTCGTTCGTGTGCCTACTGTGAGGAATTAATTTATATCCTTCTTGTGGGAGTGACGGGCCACCTGCCCACGGTCATGAACTTGGTGGGATGTCAGCATTTGGCAGGATTGGCATTTACTAAATCAAAACCCGGGGGCGCTCCCAGACTTGACTCAGCAGATGGGGCTGAGAAAGGGCCGCGGCTGAGGCATTAGCACGTGAAGGGAGATGCTGCACCTGCTGGGAGGGGCCGTGTCACACGCTGCCGCACGCTGCCACCTCCCTGCCCCGCTCCTCCTGGAGGGTTTGGCAGATGGTTCCGGACTTTGTTACAGTACCCGGAGTGTGCAGGCTGTTGGAGGTGGGACAGAATTACGGAGGAACAGGTCACCGACGCTCTATGACAAAACAGAAGAGCTCTGTGAGCTCCCGCTTTGGTCACGGGGCTACTGGGTCTTAGGAACCAAAGAGAGCACTTTTCCTTGAATGTTCATTTTTAAAAACTCAACACAACATCAATGTCATAACTGTCAAAGTTAGAAATTCCTCAGAGTAGTTTTCTGCATTGACTTTCATTGGGCAACTTCCCCTCTTTTCAAGCGAGAGCCCTGTTACCTCCCTCGACCTTCCTGGCCGTGCCCAGTCCTCACCTGACTTTTCTAGGTGTGCAATCCCCTGTTCTTATCTCAGTTCTCTTGCTCTTTCCAATCTCCTGAACTCCTGGTGTCTTTGGAGAAACTGACCTTGCCCGTGGGCATTGGGGCTGCAGCCTGTGACCTGGTGTTCCTTAGCCCACATTTGCCCGGCCTGCCCAGCTCAGAGTACCAGTCGGCAACACTTAAGTCTGAAACCCGAGGAACCAGGGCCCACCCACCGCCATGAGAGTTTGTTTGTCCGGTTGATTTTTGGCTGGTCGTTAGCATTGATTGAATGGCTTCTTTATGCAGTCAACCTTCAACTTGACCTGTGCAGTCTCGCTCTTCCTCTCACCTCTCAGCTTGGACATGCAGTAGACATTTAACCCCCGCAAGTTCATACTTTCATGTTATTGTCTGGACACCAGAATTCAAACTTCACATATTGGCCTAGAAAATGTTAAGTAGGACTAAAAGTACCTTACATGTTTGGATTATTACCCACTTTCGATCTGGTACTGTTTCTTTACCCTCAACCCTATGAATTTCTGGACTTTAAGTAAACACATTTAGAGCAAATGTCTCTACCTTGGCACTATCTTCGGATGAATATTTTGTTGCAGGAGCTGCCCTGTGCATGGAAGGATGTTTAGCATCATCTCTGGCCTCTACCCACAAGATGCCAGTAGCTCCCCCCCATAGTGTGACAGCAGAATGTCTCCAGACATTGCCAATTCCCCGTTATATTTCCACTGGTGCGGTGTCTCCTCATGTAAATACAGAATGCTTCCAGAACTACTAACACCTGCTGACCTACCATGGTTGGAGAGTGGCATGTTCAAGGTCGTGCTGTCCATTCAGTTTACATTTACGGAATGTCTGCCAGATCCCAGGCTAGATGTTGGAAAGAAAGAGAAGACTAAGACACGGTCCTGGTACCTATCTTAGTACATCAGTATCCACGTTACCACGTCTTCCTGGGATCCGGGTTCTCTGCAGAGGAGAAGTGATGTGTGTTGTGCATGCAGCTGAGTTAATCCTGAGTGTCTGTGGATAACTGAATGAGTGACCCTACATGAGAGAATGAGCATGGATCCTGTGACAGACACACCTGCATTCAAAACACACTTTGCTGTTTATTACTCTCGTGTCCTATAACCTTGAGCCAATTAACATTGCCGAGGCGTGATATAACATACAGTTTTGGTGTGAAATCCCAAACTCACATAAGTATGGCAGCAGATGATGGCGCTATTGTTGTTGTTATTTATTCCTACTTATTGTGGAAAGGATCCCCGAACGCCTCATCTTGAATGGGTGAATGACAGTTGTGTGTGGATAAATAATTTTTTAAAAAATGAAATAAAGCATGTCTTTCTTGGCAAGGCAAGCACTCATCCACGTCAGCCAGCATTGAACGTGCCTCAGTGGGAGGGTCCCAGGGTTGCGGGCTAGAGGCACCACGGTCCAGGAGACCTGGGAGCGAGGCCTGGTTGAGAACCACAATGCGTCCCATCTGCAGAAAGGAGTTAGAACAGGATAGTGACCAGGCTATGCCAGATGTACAGGTAGGACGTTAGCTGGAGCCTCGTTCAGACCAGCAGGATGAAGGCAAATGCAGCCGCTGTCAGTGTAGACTGAAGCTGAAAGCCCTGAGGCTCTGCTGAAACCCCCTCATCGGTTTCTCTCATGTTGCTCTCCTCCTCTCTCAAGTCTAGGTTATAGCTCCTGCTTTTCACGTTTAAGCTTCTACTCCCTCGTGTTACTATGCAGGTCTTCCTAGGACTGCCTCGCCTTCCGAGCCAGATTAGAAGCTGGTTGAAGGCAGGAACCATGCATTTGTGCAGATGTATTGTAAGAATACTTAGTCGTATTCCGAGTATTTGTGGAAAGAAGGGGTGCAAATCCAGTCTTACAGCAGCACCTGAGCAGCAGTGTATCAAGTGATTCTTGTCTCTTTAAGCCACTTGGGAGGTTTAAAGACAAAGTTGACTTCTCCTTAATTTGCCATTTGATATGCTGGTGTCTATGTAATAGTCATTACAATTTTTTTTCAGACATGGCAAGAAAAATCCTTGATTTTCTTTCATCTTAATCGATAGCCTAGAATAAAGAAAACCAACCACCTAATATTGAGTGACATTACTAAAACATGCTTGAACATAAGCATATCATTTTTAATCTTAAAAGTGGTTTTCAAGGTCAATAAGGCAGTGTTGTTTTTCCTTTACCGATGGCTACCTTTGTATAAACACTCTGATTTCAAGATTGTATTGGCTTTGAAGGTGACTCGGACTTATGAAATCCCCGTTCTTTGGTAGAGTTGAGTATTCAGATTAGTTACATGTGCCGTCTCACATCTATATTAAACCTTGATCATCGAGGTGGTTTGGAGCTGTGGACCTCTATAGATAACTCAGAAGCGACAATGTTTAGCATGACCACAGTTTAGTCACGTCTCCTTTTAATGCTTAAAAGGTCTTTTCTAAAGATGGTTGCACAGTTATAAAGTCTGCAGAACCTTCAGCACCCTTCCCATGTCAATAGCAGCCCGCTTCATGTGGTGTCTTTGTTATTTCTTGTGTTTGATTTGTTTACGGACACAGAAAAGCTTCACTGGCCCGAGCAGGAGCTGGCCCAGAAGTCCGTGCTGCACGCGGAAGAGGCCGTGGCCGCGGACCGCCGCCGGAGCGCCCCCCAGCTACCGCCCGGGATCCTGAAGGACATTTTCACCACTGGCACCAGCAGCTACAACGTCCTCCTGCAGAGCAGAGAGGAGAAGAGGCATCCGTCGCAAAGGCGGCCTTCCTCCGCCCAGCCCAAAAGATGTAGGAAGCCCAGCAAGTCTCCCTGCTCGCCTCACAGCAAAGAGCTTCGCAAGACGAAGGCCCTGGTGCCGGGGCTGAGCAGCGGCGCCTGGTGCTGCCTCGACAAGCAGTCCGCTGCCCTCATCACGAGCGCCCTGTCGAGTCCTGTGGCCTTTACACATGGTATCTCTGTTACAGGGAACGGCATAGCCCTGACACCCAAATCCACACACAAGGTCAAGCGGCACCATTTCTCCCCTCTCCCCAAGCCGAAGCCGCAGCCCCCGCCCCAGCTGTGTCGGAGTTTTGAGAAAGATGATTCTTCTGGGAAGAAGTTTTGTATTCTGACGGCCATAAAGCCCACCAACCTGGAGAGGGAGAAGCTCAAGTTCTTCAAGTCCGACTACACCTACGACCCGCAGTTTGAGTACTCGAACCCCTCTCTGCCCAGCGTGCTGGCCAAGCACAGCCACGCGTCGGACCGGTTCCTTAAGCAGGTAAAGCGCCCCTGCAGGAGTGGTTTCATGGTTACGTAGCTGAACAGTTATTTGCCGTCTTATAAAACGAAAAAAGACTTTAAAAGTATTGCAGGTGTTTACATGTTATAGTCAATCCCCATCCTGTCCACCTGGACACGTGACAAGAAATTCCCAGGTAAGTGGCACAGCCTCTATGTAAACAACTTCACGCCCCATAAAGAATCTGTTTCATCGACTCTGTGGCAGGAAGACTCTGTATTAGATTTTTGTTGTTGTTGTTGTTGTTGTTGTTAATCCTCTCCCGAGGATATTTCCCATTGGTTTTTAGAGGGAGTGGAAGAGAGAGGGAAAGACAGAGAGAAACATGGATGTGAGAGAAAGACATCCATTGGTTGCCTCCTGTATGAGTCCTGACCAGGGCCCGGGCTGGGGAGGAGCCTGCAACCAAGGTATGTGCCCTTGACCGGAATCGAACCTGGGACCCTTTGGGCTGCAGGCCGATGCACTATCCACTGAGCCACACCGGCCAGGGCAGGAAGACTCTATATGAGGAAGAAAGCTTCAGATCTGGCTCGCGGCTCCTGTGGGAGTTACAGGCCTGGGCCGTTAGTGAGCCCACAGGCAAGTGCAGCCCTTTTCCTTTGGAGCGGAGGAAGTGGGCTGACTGGCTCTGCTTGGCTCTGGACCGCAGTCTCGGTTCTCCTGGTCGGATCCCACCCCCAGCTGGCTCAGGCCCCACCACACATGGGGGCCATGACTTTCTAGTGCTTTGCTCACCTAGTTTATCACCATCAAGTCAATATGTAGGCGCTCATTTAAAGAAGAAAAGGATGAAAGTCTAAAAGTTTTCTTCAGGGTTCGCCAATCCTATGTGACTGGCATGAGCAGCACTTTCCAGAGTCCCGTTCAGACACGCAGCCCGTAGCTCCGTGGCATGCGTGTTAGGGTTAAACTTCTCAGGTACCTGAGCTTCACCTGCAGGGCACGGTGCGACCGGCAAAGGCAGACGTTCGGTGAAATTAACCTTGCCCCGGCTGTTCTGGCGCAGCAGGCTCGGCGTGGCTTTGTGGGGCTGCACGGCGTTGGCAGGCTGGGTAGCACGCATGGCTCCACCGGCCTGGGCCTCGTGCCCTGTGGTAGCGTTTCTGCCGCATGCGGTTCTTTGGGTTTGTGCCAGCAGGTTTGGTGGTGTTACAACTGACATGCAATCTGACCAATCATCTAAGCCATTAGGTAGAGCTGATTTTAAGATTAAAATGATTTGAATATTGCTATCTAATTTCCTTTGCTGGAAGAAACCTTTTCTACCACACCTCTGTTTTTTTTAGAGGGCAATCACTTTTTATTTAAATGTGCTGAGATTGTGCCAAACATTAATTTAAAAAGTCAGCTGTTGCTTTTATCCCTATTTTGGCAATCATTTTGTGATTTTTTTTGTTGGAAATTGCAATTGGTTGAATGTGGGGATATCACATTTCAAATTTATGATAATTATTAAAAAGCTGTTTGCTTTCCCCTCCTTAGTGCTGAGAGGAAGGGCTGAGATTTATTCGCCAACACTTTCTAATTTGGAGTCCCACCCCACCCCCTGCCAGTCGGGAAAGGTTTCCCGCCACTAAATCCAAGCAAAGGTGCTCTCATTTCTGTGGGAGGCGGTGAGGGAGCAGCCACAGCCACACAGCCTGAGAGCTGACATGACTTGGCCTGTGGCTCCACAATCTGTGCTTTCACCCAATTCTATTCCTTAGACTATATTTCTCAAAATAACCATTATTTGCAAATACACTACGTTTTTGATTACCCATATTAATGGAAGGAAACCTTTATATGGATTAGCTCAGGTGGAAAGGTCATTCCCTGCTCCCTCCCTGGAACAGCTATCGCCAGGGCAGCCCCCTTGCTCTCCTGCGGTAACAGTGCCACCCGGCCACAGGTCTGCAGGAGGGTCAGTATAGGGAGCAAGCACGGTCAGAGGAGGAAACGCAGTCATGGAAGGAGCCACCAATGCCGATGTGGAAAGGGGCGTGTATGAGGAGGTGATGTTTAAAAACAAACACCTCGCTGAAACCGGTTTGGCTCAGTGGATAGAGCGTCGGCTTGAGGACTGAAAGGTCCCAGGTTCGATTCCGGTCAAGGGCATGTACCTGGGTTGCGGGCACATCCCCAGTAGGGGATGTGCGGGAGGCAGCTGATTGATGTTTCTCTCTCATCAATGTTTCTAACTCTCTATCTCTCTCCTTTCCTCTCTGTAAAAAATCAATAAAATATATTTAAAACAAAAAACAAAACAAAAAAAAACACCTCAGCGAGAATACACCACTGAATTGACTTACAAAGAAGAAGGCTGTTGAACCTTTGATTTGGTCCCAGGCATCTTGCATGGTAACCTGTGGGAGGAGAGATGCAGTGAGGAAAGACGAGGGACTAAGTATTGAGGTGAAGACAGATGTTACAGCCAGTGACACAGGCTTCATTTCTTATGAAAAGATCTGTCCAGGAGCAGAGCTATGTGACTTTAAATATGGCCCCGGAAAGCAATGTCTTGCTTTTAGAGTTTAGCAGGGGTGGGCAAACTTTTTGACTCGAGGGCCACAATGGGTTCTTAAACTGGACCGGAGGGCCGGAACAAAAGCATGGATGGAGTGTTTGTGTGAACTAATATAAATTCAAAGTAAACATCATTACATAAAAGGGTACGGTCTTTTTTTTTTTTTTAGTTTAATTCATTTCAAACGGGCCGGATGCGGCCCGCGGGCTGTAGTTTGCCCACGGCTGGTTTAGAATATAAGGAACAGGTGACTCGTTGTTTAATCCAGTATTTTCCAGCCACATCTGGCCACGGAGCCCTTTTAAAATGATACCTTGTCCACCACTTTTCCATAGAAACAGTTTGGTCAGCACTGGCCTATGAAAGAGGACTGTGACTTCCGGGGTGACCTCCAGGGGTGATTCAGGATTGGGTGGGGGTGGGGAGGCTCTAGATGGTAGAGTTTATAAAAGGGGGGAAGTGAAGGGAGGGTTGGAATTGAGTGGAGGTCACACCAATGACCTTAAATTCTAAAATTAAAACCCAGCCTTTAATTCTGTTAAAACTTAAATACGATACACAGTCATATGGGAAATAGACAACAAACCCATTCAGTCTCTCTCCCTGTCGCCTCTTTTTCTGCCTAACTTTGTCCTCACAACAACCCTGTGAGGTAAGTAGGGCAAACATTTTCATCTCCGTTTGCCAGCGGAGAAGCTCAGCCTGAGAGGGAGGAATGACATGCCAGGGCTGTCACAGCCGTGAAGGCAGGCGCCAGGTGAACAGGCCGGCTGGCCGCCCATCTCCCGCCCCGTCGCACCCGTGTCCCTATTGCACCGAGCGACACGGCAGCTGAGCAGGGAGATAGCTTTAAGCACATGACTGGTGAGGTGGCTCGTGACGGATGGTCAGGTTTCCAGCTTGCTGAGCCGTGGACAGAACCAGCAGGCCGGCCAGCAGCAGGTCCCTCACAGAACGTGTCAGAAGCTTGTTGTGCCGAGACACTGCTGCACAGTTTGTACGGATTTTTCATTTCCTGGGGTAGTGGTTTAAAAGTTACACAGTGCTATTTGATGAACTATTCCTTTTTATTTATTATTATTTTTTAATGTTACTTTTTAAAATAGATTTTTATTGATTTCAGACAGGAAGGGAGAGGGAGAAACATCTATGATAGAGAGAATCATGGATCAGCTGCCTTCTGCACGCCCCCCCCCCCCCCCCCACTGGGGACTGAGCCTGTAACCTGGGCATGTGCCCTTGACCGGAATTGAACCAATGACCCTTCAGTCCCCAGGCCGACGCTCTATCCACTGAGCCAAACCAGCTAGGACTGGACTATTCCTTTTTAAATGACAGCTTAAGATAAAAGTCACATGCCATGCAGTTCACCCACCAACAGTGTACAGTCAGTGATTTTCAGTATGCTTAGAATTATGCAATATCACCGCTATCCAATTCAAGGACATTTCACCACCTCCTTCAAAAGAAACCCTGTACCCATTAGAAATGACTCACCATTTGCTACCAACCTGTCAGCCCTAGGCCAACGCCAGTCTACTCTCTCTTTTTCTATGGATTTGCCTATTCTGGAGATTTCATATAAATGGAATCATTCAGTATGTGGTCCTTTGTAACAAGCTTCTTTTACTTAGCATAGTGTTGTCAAGATTCATCCGTGCCGTAGCTTGTATCAGGGCTTTATTGTTGAGTAATAACCAAGTATGTATCTCACATTTTATGTATCCATTCATCAGTAGATAGACATTTGGGTTGTTTCTGCCTTTTGGCTATTATGAATAATGCTGCTGTGAATATGTGTGCACATTCTTCTGTGGGCCTATGTTTTAAGTTATCTTAGGTGTACACCTGGTAGTGGGTCATGTGCAGTTGGCCATATGGTGGTAGATTGTGTAGTAGTGAGTCATTCGCGTTAAAGAGAAGCGAACATACTGGAATCTCGGAGGGAAGGCAGGTGAGGACGGGTGGGTGGGTGGAGGTTATCAGCCAAAAAACTTGGATGCATATATGCATAACCCATGGACACAGACAATAGGGTGGTGAAGGCCTGGGGCAGAGGACGTGGGTGGGTTGGAGGGGGTCAATGGGGGAAAAAGGGAGACATATATAATTATTTTCAACAATAAAGATTTTTAAAAAAGAGAGAAGTTACAAAAGTATTTGTAACTACAGGTGTTTGTGAAAGTATGTGCAAGGGTGTGAAAGCTGCTTAGGATTAGAAAGAGGCGGTGCCTCAGTTGTATTTTCATTTGGGATCAATAAACACAGAAAGTCACAATAAATGAGAGTATTGCCGGCTTATTACTCCCCTCGAAGTAACGGGAGGCTGTTCGCTTCCGCAATGTCTTTCTTCTCCAGTCCATCAATATCATGGAGCTGACTTTGCAGAAATACGGAAGCTATGAGAAGTTCGAGCAGGCCACGGGCGGGAGCCTGCTGTCCAAGAGTCGTATCTGGAGCCACGTCAGGAAGTACATGATGAAGGAAGGCTGCCTGGGGGAGGTGAGTCCTGGTGCGAGCACTGTGGGCACGTAGCCCTCCTCAGGGTCCGGGTGCTGGCTGCAGGCTGTGTCTCTCCAACCCTGTCTAGCTCCTTAAATTAGTCACGCAGATTTCTGACTAAATACTGTAAGTCTGATTTCCCATTGCATGGAGTTGTGTTTAGTTTCTTTTCTTACCGCCATTTCTGTATCGCTTGTGGGAACAGGTGAGTGGTTTCATGAAAACGGTCAATGAAGGGATTGCCCTGGTGGCCCCTCCCATTGGAAGCCAGGTCCTGGCGTTGAGTGTGGACATAGCTCTGGCCTCCGCCTGCACCCGCCCTGCGTCATTGCAGCCGGCTGAGCGCCGCGGGACAGGGCCCCGTCCTCGTGTCTTCCCCGCAGAGCCCTTGCCCTTCTTCCTGTCCAGGCAGGGCCCTGAGGTCCCACAGGCTCAGCATCAGAAGGGCCAAGGGACCGGCCCTCAGTTCATCCTCTTGGTTCTGGGAGCATCGGGGTGTTCCTGGGCTGTGTCCCCACCTTCACGTTGGCTGACGTCTCCGCCCTTCCCTGTGGCCCTCAGGTCGTCGTCCACCTCACCGAGGACCTGCTGTCCCGCGCCTCCATGACGGTGGTCAACGGCTGCCCCACGCTGACCATCAATGTGTCCACGGCCCGGGAGCACTGGCTGGAGGGGATGCTGAGGCACGAAATCGGTAGGGTGGCCCCTGCCCCGCCGCGTGGTACCGAATGAACCCCGCAGACACGCCCCGTGTAATGGGGTGTTCGCCGTTGCATTTGGCAAAAGGCCATGGAGTTTGTTATTAGGCTTCACTTGAACCCCAGCTTCGCTGATTACCGCCCCATTTCAAGTCAGCTCCTCGGGCCGTGAGCAGCATTAAGCTGAAACGTCACTGACCCCAGGATTTCCGTTCCTTGACCTGAAACTGAAGGAACTGAATGACCTGTTCTCTGAGATTCTTTTCAAATATCAAGTCTATGATTCTTCCCTTTAGAAAAATAACCTCTTCCGAGGAGCCCTGGGGGCCTGGGGGGCGGGAGGTGGGGGGGCAGTGTGCTCCTTCCCACCAGAGGCTTCGGGGCGGCTGGCTTCTGCTGTTGGGGTTGATTTGGGCTGAGAATGGCCGGCAGGGTCTTGGGGTAGGAAGTAAAGACTGGCGTTTCCTGCGTCCACGGCCCCTCCCGCAGGCACACATTATTTCCGGGGCATCAACAACCTGCAGCAGCCCTGGGGCAGCTGGACGGGCCGCAGGAAGCACGAGCTGAAGCCCAACAACCCCACGGAGGAGGGGCTGGCGAGCATCCACAGCGTCCTGTTCCGGAAAGACCCCTTCCTGTGGCGGGCGGCGCTGCTCTACTACACCGTGTTCCAGGCCAGCCGCCTGTCCTTTTGCCAGCTCTTCCAGGATATTGGCAAGTTTGTCAAGGACCCCAACACACGGTGGGATTACTGCGTGCGGGCCAAGAGGGGCTGCACCGACACGGCCCAGCCAGGTGGGTGGCCCCGGGCCCTAGGCCCTCTGGCTTGGGGTGAGGATTAACAGAAAAAACAGGAGTGATGAATGTGCCCACTGAACCCTCACTGTGTTCACCAGTTGTCCCTAGAGTATTTGAAACCAATTCCAGACATCTGTCCTTTTACCTGCAGATACTTCTGTATCCGTCCCTAACCATAAGGACAACTTGTTCACAACCCCCGGGCTATTAGCATAGCTAACCAAATCCACAACATCAGAGCATGGGACTCCGGTATGGTGGGTTTCAGTCCACTTAACAGCAACGTTTAACCAATTCACACGTTTTGTCATGGTGGGAGGAGCGTTTTCTTTGTAAATGAACTTTTTTTTTTTAAAGGATCAGATCTCATGAGCTGTTTCTGCTCATCATGTCTTCATCCACATTTTTTCTATTTATAAACCCCATATTCTTTAAAGCCCAGTCCTAATTCTGGATTTCTTAGGGAAGAACAGTATCAGAATCACCTACAGTTATTTTAATGGTGTGTGTTTTTAAACTAGTAGTTCAGACATCCTGTGTTTCCACATTGCCCCCATGAGACCTAATGCTGTAAGCCGTCCCCCGCCCTCCCCACCGACACCCGCATTGCATCATGGGAGTTAAGGCTGCAGTCGGAGGGTGGGGTGGGGGTGGGGGTGAGGGTGGGATAATTATTTGTAGGAGTCATACCATTTAAGTTACCAGTGTTTCTTTATAATCAGGGGAAATGCTATTTTAATTATGGGGATGGGGACCTGGGGAGGAGAGATTCGTAGAAGGAAGCTGCTGGTCTCCGTGTGATCCTGGTCTTGCAGAGACCTTACATTGGATGTTTCAAATCAGAACAGTTACCCACAAGGACACGCGGCGCCTTAGCAAAGCCTTCTGTACGGGCCGGTTCCTAGACGGGATGGTCAGCACCTCATTCCTGGGCGCTGTCTCAGACTGGGGTAACACGCTGTGGTCCCCGCAGGCTGCTTCAGTAAGGACCAGGTGTACCTGGACGGCATCCTGCAGCTGCTGCGACACCGGGACTCCATCGACTTCCCCCTGCTGACCGCCCTGGGCAAGGTGAGTGGCAGGGAAGGCGCCAGGCCACACCCCCCACCCTCCCCCACCCCCCGTGCAACGTGCAGCACTTCTGCCCAGCTGCTTTGTGATGACGTCAGGCTGCTTTTATCTGTGCTCGGAATTAGCTTCCAGCGTGATACAGGAGGGAAGAAATGTGTTCTGTCACAGAACCGAACGGCAAAATTTCTTTGTGGACAACAAGAGATAAGGGAATAGGAAATGTGGAGATGCGGTTTCATTTATAAACATCTTTTTTAAATATATTTTATTGATCTTTTACAGAGAGAAAGGGAGAGGGAATAGAGAGTTAGAAATATCGGTGAGAGAGAAACATTGATCAGCTGCCTCCTGCACACTCCCCACTGGGGATGTGCCCGCAACCAAGGTACATGCCCTCGACTGGAATTGAACCCAGGACCCTCCAGTCCGCAGGCCAACACTCTATCCCCTGAGCCAAACCAGCCAGGGCTAATTGTATTGCCTTTTAGTTCTGAGTTGTAGTTCTTTGTATATTCTGGATATTAAATCCTTATTGGATGTATGGTTTGAAAATATTTTCTCTTATACTGTAGGTTGTCTTTTCAATGTCTCAGTGATGTCGATAGAAACATCAATGATGAGAGAGAATCATTGATTGGCTGCCTCCTACATGCCCCACACTGAGGATTGAGCCTGCACCTGGGCACACATACAAGAAGCAACCAATGAATGTGTGAATAAGTGGAACAACAAACCGATGCTTCTCTTTCTCCCTCACCCTTCCTCCCTCTTCTCTTTCCTCTTTCTCTCTAAACTCAAATAAAAGGGTCCCGGGCTCTATTCTGGTCAAGGGCACATGCCTGGGTTGCAGGCCTGGTCCCCAGTAGGGGGCGTGCAGGAGGCAGCCAATCAATGATTCTCTCTCATCTTTGATGTTTCTATCTCTCCCTCTCCCTTCCTCTCTGAAATCAATAAAAATGTATTTTTAAAAAAATAGTCCACATACTTAAAGTTTACTTACTACCCAGGGAAGAAATTGCTCTTTAAATGTGACTGAAAGTTACACTTAAAACTGACCCGCCTCCGTCCCTCAGGTCTCCTATGAAGACGTGGAGCGCCTGAAGGGCCTGGGCGTCACGGAGAACAAGGGAGAGGGAATAGAGAGTTAGAAATATCGGTGAGAGAGAAACATTGATCAGCTGCCTCCTGCACACTCCCCACTGGGGATGTGCCCGCAACCAAGGTACATGCCCTCGACTGGAATTGAACCCAGGACCCTCCAGTCCGCAGGCCAACACTCTATCCACTGAGCCAAACCAGTGAGGGCTATAACATCTTTTTCTAAAATATTTGAAAGCAGTCTCTAGGTATAACACTACCCCCCCTTTTTAAAATATATTTTTATTAATTTCAGAGAGGAAGGGAGAGGGAGAGAGAGATATAAACATCAATGAGAGAATCATTGATCAGCTGCCAGTGGCATGCCCCCTACTAGGGATGGAGCCCTCAACACAGGCATGTGCCCTGACCCAAATTGAACTGTGACCTCCATGTTCATAGGTTGATGCTCAACCCCTGAGACATAC